CTGGCTAGCTTAAACACATTTATTTCTTATAGTTCTGGAGGCTGGAAAATCCAAGACCAAGGCATCAATAGATTTGGTGTCTAGTGAGAGCCTGCTTCTCAGTTTATAGCGGGCATTTTTCTCACCGTGTCCTTGCACAGTAGAAGTGGTGAGGGAGCTGTCTGGGGCGTCTTTTTTAGTGGTACTAATTCTGTAATGGACCAGGGCCCTAGGGGCCTTTCTGGAACAGACCTCTCCCCCCATGTCCTCAGCCTGCCTGCCTCTTGTTTGTAGAAAAGCTGTAGTCTCTAGGCCTCCCCTGAGTCACAAAAGCCTGGCTCAAGAATTAACTAATTAATTGAAAGGATGTGAATATGTAATGACACAAGAAGCAGTTAAGCCAGAAGAACTGCTAAGAATTTAAATAGTAAATCAGCCACACAGCAGTCACAGAATTTTTAGGCCCTCCCTGAAGTACCTGGTAACAGTGTCTGATGCACGTTTCCTGCATTGTTTTACAGATACTAAAACCCCCCACAAAATGGAAGAAGTTAACTACCCGATGACCATGAAGACTTAGCCCCCAAAACCTGAAGACTGATAACGTTGACCTCTGTTGACACCACCCGGTTACCTCACCAGCAACCGTAATCCTTTGATTCACATACCCTGTCACTCCCCGCCCTCACTTTTAAAAATACTTCTCTGAAACCCATTGGGGAGTTTGGGTCTTTTGAGCAGGAGCCACCTGTTTTCCTTGCTAGGCTGCGCAGTAAACCTTTCTCTGTTCCCAATTCCAGTGTATCAGTTTGTTTGGCCTCACTGTGTTGGGCACACGATCTTAGGTTTGACAATTTCAACAGAAGGGCTCCATCCTAATGACTTAATCACTTCCCAAAGGCCCCACCCTCCAATACCATCACATTAGGGATTAGGATTCAACATAGGAATTTTATGGGGACACGATGGCTCCGATGGTAAAGAAACTGCCTGCAAATGCAGGAGAGCCAAGTTTGATCCCTGGGTTGAGAAGATCCCCTGGAGAGGGAAATGGCACCCTACTTCAGTATTCTTGCCTGGAGAATTCCATGGACAGAGGAATTTGGCAGCTATTTATCGTCCTTGGGGTAGCAGAGTCAGACACGCCTACGCAAGTAACACTCACTTTCACACTGTAGCCCTATGGGGATGCCACCTCAGTCAGAAATTAAGTTGGTATGAAAAATAAAATGATGTCAGAATTTGCATCTGAGATTCTTACCCCTTAGAGCCGGGAACTTACTGGAAGTTCCGCATGAAAGCACTCAAACATCCGCATGAGTGGTAGATGGACTGCAACCCCAATAGTAGAGCTTTGGGGACAGTGTTTATGTCCCTGTTGGAGAACTGATGTGCAGAAAACAGGTGGGTTTCAGACGTCGCTGCTGCTTTCAAGAATGTGTTGAGAATGAGCCACACGTGCTTTGCAACCTGCCCACAGGTGGACAAAAGAAGGAAGAGAAAAGTAATGCTGTATTGGTTAAAGTTTGATGACAATATGGATTTCCCTAGCTTCTCAGAAAAATACTTAGGGAGGCAGTGGGAACAAAAGTTAACATTAGGGCCCCACCTCACACCCTGAATTTCTTAAAGCTGAGACTAAACTAAACCTCTTACCGTTTTTCTGGGAAGAGAAGAGTATAAGCCCGAGGAACTCCAGCACAGGTGAAAGTGGGGAACCAATCTGTTTAGAACCAATTTTGGCCGGCTTGAAATTAAGGATCAGTGGGTTCTGATTTGGTTTAAGGTGAACACCCGTGGGTTCTCCCAGCCTTTGAAGTTTAGAAAGGAGGAAGGGGCTGGAAATGGCCTCGCATTTCTAAGGTGAAGGGGGCTGGATGCTGAATGGAGGGTTCAGCAGCACCTTCTCAGACCTGGCTAGAGAGAACAGCTGGAAAGTTCTCAGGCAGCATACAGAATTTAAGCTGGCACTTCAGAGTCCTTTGGGAAGCCAGGCAAGAGTTCCTTGTGCAGGATTCCTGAGTAGGCTGCCAAGGCCAAGGGACTCTGCACACTTGCAACTGCCTACATGTCTCTGTCATCAGTGCAAGGGCCTGGGGACATGTTAGGAGAAACTGAGCTTTGGACAAGCAGGCAGAGTCATACATAGAGTCCAGATCTTCTTGACCTTGAGTTTTATTTCTCACACTGTTCCAGTGTCTCAGAAGTGAAAGGGTTTAGACATACTGCACTGGGCATTGGTTAAGAAGCTGAAGCAATAACTAGGCCTGCTCGTTAGATATTGTTCTGAGACCCACTACACACCAAGTGCCAAAAGAAATTCCATGTTAGGGAGTTCCCTGGTGGTCTAGTGTTTAGGATTCCAGGCTTTCACTGCTGTGCTCCATGTTCAATTCCTGACCAGGGTTAACTGAGATTCTGCAAGCTGTGTGATGCAGCCACACACACCCACCCACCCCCACAAATTCCCAGGTTAATTAAAAACTTATAGATAAATACTACAATGAAAGAATTAAAACAAAACTTAGGCAAATATTTAGCTGATTCTAAGGAAGGCCTAGGGGAGGGTCCTTTCCTTGTTTTTCTCAACTCCTAGAGGTACCCACAATCCTCCACTCGCCACCCCCTTACTCCATCTTCAAAGCCAACAACATGGCATCTCTCAGACTCTTCTTTCATCACCACATCTCTCTCTGTCTTTCTCTTCCATGTTTAAGGGCCCTTGTTATGACACTGGGTCTACCCAGATAATCCAGGATAATTTTCCTAGCTTAAAGCCAGATAATTATCAAACTTAATTCCACCTGCCATATAAGCACAGGTGCTGGGGATTAAAAAGTCTTTGGGGCCATGATTCTGCATACACAATTGGTTTATTCCATATATGAATCTGTCTGAAACTATTTAACATTAATATTTTAAACAGTTTAAATGTAATATTTAAATTAATATTTAAATTTAATATTAATAGATATTTTAAAATTAATTAATAAAATTAATGTTTTAAATATTTAAGCATTTAAAAACCAGCCCGAATGTCACTTCATGGCAAATAGATGGGGAAACAGTGAAAACAGTGGCTGACTTTATTTTTCTGGGCTCCAAAATCACTGTAGATGGTGATTGCAGCCATGAAATTTAAAGATGCTTGCTCCTTGGAAGGAAAGTTATGACCAACTTAGACAGCATATTAAAAAGCAGACATCACTTCGTCAACAAAGGTCCGTCTAGTCAAGGCTATAGTTTTTCCAGTGGTCATGTATGGATGTGAGAGTTGGACTGTAAAGAAAGCTGAGCGCAGAAGAATTGATGCTTTTGAACTGTGGTGTTGGAGAAGACTCTTGAGAGTCCCTTGGACTGCAAGGAGATCCAACCAGTCCATCCTAACGGAGATCAGTCCTGGGTGTTCATTGGAAGGACTGATGTTGAAGCTGAAACTCCAATACTTTGGCCACCTGATGCAAAGAGCTGACTCATTTGAAAAGACCCTGATGCTGGGGAAAGATTGAGGGCAGGAGGAGAAGGCGATGACAGGATGAGATGGTTGGATGGCATCACCAACTCAATGGACATAGGTTTGAGTAGACTCTGGGAGTTGGTGATGGACAGGGAGACCTGGCATGCTGCGACTCATGGGGTCGCAGAGTTGGACACGACTGAGCAATTGAACTGAACTGAAAGTCTATCTTAGTGTATGGATGACATAGGATATATATTCACAGGATGAATGCTATGTGCCCACTTAAAGTCATAATGTAGGAGAATATATAGTAACATGGAGTGACATTCACTGTACAGTAAGTTGTGTGTATGGGGATCCCTCTATAAAAAGAATATGCACAAGATGATACCAATTACTTAAAACCAAATCCCAAAACAAACCTATATGCAAGTGAAAAAAAATGAGAGGATATAGGTCAAAATATTAACAATATTTATCTCTGGATGGTGACTTTAAATTTCTTTTGCTTTTCCCCATTTTCCAAAATACACACTATACATGCATCATGTTTTCAAAGAGAAATAAAAGCTGATCGAGAACGTCTACCTAGGATAATTTTCTGATCAAGTATTGTTTAGCTTTTGACAACACTCGCTCAATCTACAGGATGGTGCTCTTCATCAAAAATATTTCAAGTCTGGCCATCGGTGACACTCGCTGTTCTTTTCAAGTCCCAGCTGTCCACTCTGGAAAGTGTGACCCATGGAGGATAGGAAGGAGCCACACAATGAACTAAGCAGCAAATAGTTGCCTCTTAAACACTTTTTCAAGACCAAGCAAACTGCAAAGCACAGCCACACCCCGCAAAGAATAACCAGTAATTCGGAGCCGGATGCACAAATAAACGAGCCTCTCTCATAATCTCGCTGGCACGTGTTAATGGTTTTAATTAATAATACTTAATACATAAAACAACAGAACATAGGCAACGCCCGTGTGCCTGACCGCTGAGTGGGGGAGAGCGGAGAGTGTCTTGACCGCGGGACCGCTGACAGGACCCCACGTGCCCACCCTGGTCCGCTCCCGAAGCCCGAGGCGGCTTCCTAGCCGAGAGTGAGCCGCCTGAGCTCGACCGTAAGCACCACTGGGCCCAGAGCAGAGACCTGAGGCCGGCAGCCCTAGCCCGGGAGCGCGTTAGAATCCTGGGCTTTGTGGTGTCGGATAGGCGCGCGCCTCAGCACCTGCCCTCTCCCGGCACTCGCGGATCCCGGCCGGAGCCCGCCCCTACCACCGAGAGGTGCGCCTAGAGTGGACGAGCCCGCCGCTTCGCTCCTCCCAGCCTCCTCTATCCCGGAAGTTGACGCCGCGCGCTTCGTCGCGTGCTGCTCGCTGGGGGTGTCGCCTTAGAGATCTGCACGGGCTGGGCTTGCGAAAGGATCAACATGCCTGTGAGTTGTTTACTTTCGGGCTTCGCGTTTGTGTCGGCCTTCTCTGTCCCCCGAGGGGCCCCGAGGACAGGCTAGATCCATGGCTCCGCTGGGCCCCGGGGCTCCCTGCCGAACGCCGCTCGGCGCCTCGGATGGCACGGCTCTTTCGCGCGTGGCGGACTTGTTGGGACTTGCCCGGGCGGCGCGGCGAGCCGGGCCCTGCCAGGGCGTGGAACTGGAAGCCCGGCGCCGCCCTGGGCTGCAGTCTGGAGTTGCTGGTTGGCAGGGGACTGCTCCCTGGGTACCTTACTCGACCTTCCTGGGTTTCGGTGGGCACCCGCGAGGCTATGATCGTTTACGTCTTCTTGCTTTCTTTTTGTGGCTCTTGCTCCCCTCTGCCTCCTCTCGGAAGCGATTTTCTGCTTGTTTCCTTTTTAAAAACTGTCTTAGCAGTTGCCATACAAATTAACTCTATCAGGGACAGTCAAGCGTCAGCCACTTAAGAGTTCTTGTCAGATCAGATGTTGAACCCAGGGGGCAGAAATCACCTCGCTGTTGACGTTCTCCGGTTCTGTCTCAGCAATTTCTTCTTCAGCGGGTCCACCAGGGTCAGAATCATTAGCACCACTGTTTTCTTTTCTTTGGCGACTGTTATTAGTTACGAAGAACGGCGTTAACCTTACCATCTGTTTCCGGATAGTTGTAAAGCCCCTTAACTGGGACTTAGAGAACGCAAGCATTATAAAAACTGTTGATGAAAGTTAACAGGCATAAAAAAAAAAAAACACTAAAGTGTTGTCTGTTCTGAGTATGACTGTTATTCCTATTTTTGCATGTATGTTTTACATCCGGTTAAATTTGCCAGAGTTGTGGTGGCATTCTAGTACTCACTGTGCTTTTTTTTATTCAGTTAGCTAGAGATTTACTGCATCCTTCCTTGGAAGAGGAAAAGAAGAAACATAAAAAGAAACGGCTGGTACAAAGTCCAAATTCTTACTTCATGGATGTAAAATGTCCAGGTGAATTTTCACACTTTAATTCCTTTCCTAAGGAAAATTTCTCTAAAGGACTACTTACAGAATTTCTATAAGGACTGCTCATAGTCTGTTGTGTACATTTAGATATTAGGACCCTCTGTTGGAGTAGAAGTGGGATTACAGAATTGGAATGTCATGGGGTTATTATCATAATAAACCACTTCAGAAACATATGGGTAGGGGGGTTGTGAAAATGGGATTTCCACAAGGGACATGGCATTGAACTTACTAAGTCTTTAAGCTGCTCAGATGGTAAGTTTTCTTTTTCATTGTTTACAGTTAAGTATATTCATTCTTCATTGTAAAGCAGTGGGATCCAGTATGGTGGCCATTAGCCATATGTAGCTAGTGAGCACTTGATATGTGGCTAGTCAGAATGGAAAAATTCTTTTTCATTCTTTTTTTTCTTGAGGTATAACTGACATAAAACATTATAGTTTGAAGTGTACGATGTCATGATTTCATATTTGTATATACCGGGAAATGATCACAATATGTCTAAATTAACACCTATCACTATACATAGTTACAGTTTTTTTTTCTTGTGATAAGAACTTTTCAGATATACTCTTAGTAACTTTCAAATATTCAGTATGATATTATTAACTGTAGTCACTAGGCTGTATCTTTTTTATTTTTTCATGCTGTATCTTTAAAGTGTGAAATACACACCAGAGTTTGAAGATATAGTATAGAAAAAGAAAAAAGGCTTTGTTTACACGTTGCAATGATAATATTTTGGAAATACAGACTTCCGTAGATTATATTATTAATTTCATCTTAAAAAAAAAAACAACTTGTTTTTAATGTGGCTACTAGAAAAGTTTGTTACGGATGTGGTTTGCACAGCACTGAAGTTCCTAATCTTTTACAAGGTCTCTACTAGAAATACATTGAACAGGTGCTGTATTTTCTTCTGCTTTTCACTTCTAACACTGCACTGTTTTAGGTTGCTACAAGATCACCACAGTTTTCAGCCACGCTCAGACAGTAGTGCTTTGTGTAGGCTGTTCAACAGTGCTGTGCCAGCCAACAGGAGGGAAGGCCAGACTCACAGAAGGTAAATCATTTGGCATTTTCTAACCCAGTGATGAGATTTTATGATTTTAGTCTTTTTACAAAAATTAGTTTAAAAGAAATGATAGATTCATAATTAGCAAAATAATTTTTATCTTTCATTGTGTGCTCTTTTTAGTAAAGAGTGCCCTTTTAAATTAGATAAGTTTGTATTCTTGACTTTGCAAAGAATTCCATAATCTGTTATTTGTCTTAGTTTAAAACATCTAATTTTGTTGTATTATATTTAGTCAACTGGCTTAACTTGGAATATTAGACATAAATCAGAATGGAGTAAAAGAATAAATACATGTAAATACTTTGTTTCCTATGTATTTGGTACATATGATTTAGATAGTTTTTATCATTGCTAGCTAAGCAACAGATAACTATAGTTAATATGTTAGAGGTTTGATTTCTGTGAGCAACTCATGATTAAGATAGTCTCATTTTTAATTCTTTCACTTTTGTGCAGTGAGAATAAATAATACATATGTATATAATTTTCCATAGTAGTACTTAGGGATTTACAATTCAATAATGATATTTAAAATTGGCTTGTGATATTTTTGGTTAACACGGTAAATTCCATGTTATTCTCACTGGAAGAGTTACAAGTGAATTGGCAACAAATCCAAGATCTAGTTAGTATGACCTGGTGAGCTCTAACTTTGAAGTCAGCACAATATTTAAGTGCAGTACTCTGCTTAAACATGTACTTGCAAGATTGCCAAAACCTGCGTATCACGCAATGATCTTAGAATTTGTGCCCACATGCTGACAGATGATTAAAAGGGCACATATATATGTATCAGAGTTTTCCTAAAAGATCTGAGATGAACTCTAATGAAAGTTAATTTCTGGAGAAAAGAATTCAGAATAGTTCTTAAAAATTAAGTTTGTATTGTCTGACAGCTTGCATTAGTTTTAACTCATGGTCTTAAATGAATTTCATCATAACATTTGAGAGGACTTAATGAGTATTTAATCTAAAATTTCTAAAAGCTAAGTTTTTATGTAAAAAGTACTTTTTATCCTTAAAACTCTATACCAGAAATAGAACAGACTTGTGTTTAATATGCTCTTGTGATTCTTTCACAGGCTGTTCATTTAGAAGGAAGCAACACTAATGATCCACACAACTTCTTGAATTTGTGTTCTATCGCAGAAAGCCTTATCAGTTCAGTAATTCCAGTTAATCTACCAAGATGATGTAATTACTTTTAATTTTGTAAGGTATACAGCGGCGCTCTCCTATTTTGGTGTCAGTTTTTCAATAAAGTTTTGATTATGGGCAAATTGCTTCTTTGCTTTTTTTAAAGTATGTGTGAATATGCTATACATTTATATATACTGTGTATGTGAGTTTGGTTTAAATATTTTTAAAAGCGTATTCTGATTAGTTTGTGTCTCACTTCAGGAACAGAAACTCAATGTTTATTTTATGTCATTTTTCAAATTACTCTGAAGGGGTTGTGCTGTGCTGTGCTTAGTCGCTCAGTCTTGTCCGACTCTTTTTGACCCCATGGACTGCAGCCCACCAGGCTCCTCTGTCCATGGCGATTCTCCAGGCAAGAATACTAGAGTGGTTTGCCATGCCCTCCTCCAGATTTTCCCAATCCAGGGATGAAACCCAGGTCTCAGGCGTTGCAGGCAGATTCTTTACCATCTGAGCCACCAGGGAAGCTTAGAAATGCAAAGTTCATTATTTATTAATTCTAAATGTAGTTTGGTTTTGTAACTATGGAAACATGTATAGAAGTACATATTTAATGCAGTAGCAATCACAGTGTAATGCCTTGGATTTATGTGCCCATGACATACTGCATAATTTAGTACAGTAACTGTACCTGGCATCTGAGTTATATTTAATAGTATAGCTCTTCAGGGGTAGAAAATTTGGGAGGAGGAATCAAGAGTATTGTGATTTTTCCAGGATGTCCTGGCAGGGGGCAGTAGATAGTACTGCATTCTCTGGTTCAGACAGGTTAGCACTGGTGACTGCAAAATATGTTAAGTGGCTCTGTAGTCTCATTGTCATTCTTATGGTTTATAAAGTGACCCTTGGGACTTAGGAAGTAGAGTATATCTCTCCCTTTCTAGCCCTTATATGACTGCCCATTAGACTGGGAAGATAACTGCTTCTGTTTTACCTGTTATTTTTTTTTTTCCATTTATTTTTATTAGTTGGAGGCTAATTACTTTACAATATTGTAGTGGTTTTTGCCATACATTGATATGAATCAGCCATGGATTTACATGTGTTCCCCATCCCGATCCCCCCTCCCGCCTCCCTCTCCATCCCATCCCTCTGGGTCTTCCCAGTGCACCAGCCCTGAGCACTTGTCTCATGCATCCAACTTGGGCTGGTGATCTGTTTCACCCTTGTTACCTGTTATCTTTAAGCCAGGCACTTAAGACAGGCATTTTCTACCAAGAGGTGTTCCTATATATACACCCCTAATCCGAGAGACTGATCCATTAACAATACTCATTGGTATATCAGAGGAATGTTGCATGAGAACTGAAGAACTGTGGAAAGTTTGGGGTGTATTGTATGAGAAGCAGATAACTCAGGGCTTCCCAAACTTTCTTGGTATATAGCCTCTAGTTTCAGTAATTTTTTTCATGGAGTCCCCTGGCCAAAAGAAATAGCTAATGGTTAAATTTATTAAGTAGTTAAATTATAGAAACTTTAGTACTAAAGTAAAAAAACTACATGTAAATTAGAGCCAAAGTGATAATTTTTGCTTCGTTCTTAAGTGACTTGCTAATGGAATGAGTGTGCCTTCTGGGTACTGAATATTTTTCAAAATTTGGATCACATTGGACACTGTCATCTTCATTTTTTCCACATTGATTTTTGCATAGTATTAATTTTTATCACAGCAATGACCCAAAAGCCAGCTTCACAAAGATGTATCACCAAAGGAAATGTGGTGCTATCTAAATGTGACATAATTACCTGGAACTGGAAGTTTGTATGGTCTCCAAAAGATGTCAGGTGTCAACGTTTGCTCCAAGGCACCTCAGCTTGCACAGTTTAGGAACTTTGGCAAAACCTGTGATAAACAGGGAGCAAATTCTTGCAAATTTTCTTGGAAACAGTATCAAAAGAAAGTATGGTACTTTAAAGAACCTATCTAAGAGTTAATTTAAAGAGATATTTGGCACTGGGAACTGAATGGTATATTAAGTTTTATTTCATTATTAAACAGTATTACTTGATTTGAAAAATGCTCAGAAGAGAACATTCAGACTTTTCCAAACTTAAAGGTTTCCCACATACATTATTATTTAGTGAGTGTTTTTCTTTAATATTATCATTTATATTGTCCTCATTTTATTTTGGCCTTGTCACAGGGCATGTGGAACCTTAGTTTCCCTGACCCGGGATGGAACGCCATGCCACTTGCAATGGAAGTGCAGAGTCTTAACCACTGTCTTCATTTTTTAATGTAAGGAAAGGTTAACCTATCTATTCCATAAATTAGAAAGAAAAAATTACATAAAAATAACTAAAAATTAAATTCTTGGCTTCTGATCTGATCAGATAAATGGTTTCTTATCTGGTTGCCTCTGTGAATCATCTGATAAAGTTTAATTTTTGTTTTGTTTCAGATATAATATTCAGTGGTTTTTATTATATTCACAATATTGTTCAACCACTGCCAATATCTAATAATTCCAGGCAGTTTCCATGATGAGAAAAAGAAACTCCATACTCACTAGCATTCACTCCCCATTGCTTCCTCATCCCAGATCCTGGCAACCACTAATATATTTTCTATCTCCTTGGATTTGCCTGTCTGGACATTTTATATAAATGGAATTATACAATACATGGCCTATTGTGTCTGGCTTTCACTAACATAAATATATATCATAGCCATTCATGCATGTATCAGTACTTCTTTCCCTTTTTGACTGAATATTATGTTGTAAGAATATACATTTTGTTTACCCATTAATCAGTCAATGGACATTTATGTTTTTTTACTTTTTAGCTACTATGAATTTATGTGTACAAGTTTTTGTATAGACATATTTTAAATTCTCTCATATATACATAGAAGTAGAATTGCTAGATCAGATGGTAATTGTTTAGCTTTTTGAGGAATTGCCTGTTTTCCAAAGTGCCTGCACCATTTTATTCCTACTAGCAACAAAGCACAAAGGTTCCAATTTCTCTACATCCTTGTCTGTTTTTGTTTGTTTTTTAATTATAGCCATCTCAGTGTTTGTGAAGAGTTACCTCATTAGGGTTTTAATGTGCACTTCCTTGATGACTAATGATGTTGACTATATTTAAATGTCCTTATTGGCTATTTGTATATCTTCTTTGGAGAAATGTCTATTCAGATCCTTTGTCCATTGTTAACTGTGTTGCCTTTTTATTTTTGAGTTGTAAGCTTTCTTACATATTTTAGATACAAATCCCTTATATATATGGTTTGCAAATATTTTCTCCCATTCTGTAGCTTGTCTCTTCATTTTTTGTTCTTAGAAACACAAACATTTTTAATTTATATGAAGTCTAATTTATCTAATCTTTTTTGTTTGTTTCTCGTGCTTTTGGTGCCGTATCTAAGAAATTATTTCCTATTCCTAGGTCACAGAGATTCGTGCCTGTTTTCTTCTAAGAGATTTATAGTCTTCATTCTTACATTTAGCTTTGATCTGCTTTGAATAAATTCTGCATATGGGAAAGGGAAGCAGGGATCCAACTTCATTCTCTAATTCTTTTTAATGGCTGCATAACAGTCCATGGTGTGGAAGTACCATAATTTATTCAGTATTATCCTATTGGCGGGCAATTTGTTTCTAGTTTTTTCCCACTATAATCAATGCCATAAATATATTTAAGTATTCCTTAATAATAGCACTTTTATTTCTGTGGCTTAGATTTATAGGAGTAAGACTCCTGGTTAGAAAGATAAATATATTTTCAATCAAGTGATGCCAGACTGCTTTCTATCAGCAATATATGAGAGTATTTTCCCCCTTCCCCATCTTCCATAAATAAATGGAACCCTCTTTTTTTTTTTTTGCCACTTTGGTGATTGTAGGGTTATTTATCAGTTACTCTAATTTGTGGGCTTCCCTGGTAGCTCAGATGGTAGAGAATATGCTTGCAATGCAGGAGACCTGGGTTCAATCCCTGGGTTGAGAAGATTCCCTGGAGAAGGGAATGGCAACCCACTCCAGTATTCTTGCTTGGAGAATTCCATGGACAAAGGAGCCTGGAAGGCTATAGTCCATGGGTTGCAAAAAGTCAGACACAACTGAGTGACTAACACACTCTAATTTGTATATCTAGATTAATGATGAGTTTAGAAGTGGAAAGAAGCCATAATAAGCTACTGTCTTCCTAGGATTCATTCTCTTTTTTTTTTTTAACAACAATAACAAATTCTTCAGATTAGAATTTTGGTTAAAAATAGTAGGAATATAGTTTCCTACTGATGCTCTAACAAACTACAAAAAACTAGGTGGCTTAAAAACAAAAACAACACAACACAAACACGAATTTATTATCCTACAATTTTGGAGATCAGAAGTCCAAAATGGATCTCTTGAACTTAAGATCAAGGTGTATGTTTCTTCTGGAGGCGCTAAAGGGAGAATCTGTTCCCTGGTCTTTTCTATATTCTAGAGGCTACCTGTATTTCTTGGTTACTGGCCCCAGATTATTCCATCCTTTACTTGTATCATCACATCTGACTCTAACCTCTTACTTTCTTATAAAGACCTTTGTGATTACACTGCATTCACCTGGATAATCCAGGTTAATCTACCTATTTCAGGATCCTTGATTTAATTACATCTGCAAAATTCTTTTGCTATGTAAGGTAACATTCACATATTCTGGAGATAAGGATGTGGACATTTTAGGGGGCCATTATTCTACCTCTCATAGAATACAAAGTTGAAAAATTCTATCCAGATTTGAAAATTGAGATTCTATCTATAGTAATAATAATAACAGCTCCCTGCAAAGAAAAAAACTCCAGGACCAGATGGCTTCACTGGGGAATTCTACCAAACATAAAAAGAACTTAAACCAATCCTTCTCAAACTCTTCCAAAGGATTTAGGAGGAGGGAACATTCCTAAAATCATTCTGTGAA